CTGACCTCAGGTGATCCGCTTGCCACAGCCTCCCAAAGTGCTGGGATTACAGGTTTGAGCTACCATGCCTGGCCCTTCTGTCTTAATCTATGTATATCTTCAACAGTTTGAAATGATATGCTGCTCTTTAATAAAAGTCAGCTGCCAAGATCAATGGCAGAGGCTGCCCAGGTTACATTTAAAATGACGTGGCATCCAGATGCCATTGCTCTCAGGAATATTTCAGTTAAAATCAAGGCAAAAGCTACACCTGGATTCTAAGTTCTTCACTAGCAGACATTAGTTGAATGTCTGTGGAAAAATATCCTTGATTGTTTGGTCTTATTTTTTTCATTCATCAATGGACACAAGCTACTGATCACATTAAACATGGTAAGAAGTTGTAAAAGCCTGAATTTGCTGCCTTCATCTTTATTTTACCTCAATTAGAAATATGACAGTATTAGTTTCACCTTAGCCGATTCCCCCACTAGACACCTATCTCCCCTGGGAAGAGATTCCTGAATATTCACTTTTTGTTGTTGTTGTTGTTTTTCAGGCAGAGTCTCATTCTATCACTCAGGCTGGAGTGCAGTAACAGGATCTCGGCTCACTGCAAACTTCGCCTCCTGGGTTCAAGCAATGCTCTTGCCTCAGCCTCCCGAGTAGATAGGATTACATGAATATTCACACTTAAAGTCTCTGACAGAGACCCCTAGGAAAGGGGGTTCAGCCTAATTCTCCTTTACTTGATTTGACTGACCACTCACAGCATATTTCAGTAAATAAATCCATGTAAACAAGGCTTTTCCAACTCTAACATGACATGTGTGCTGCTATCCTGAGTTTTTCGTTCATAACTGGGACCCTTGGAAAATTACACTTCCAGATAGCATGAAATGCTACCCAGGATGCCTCTTGGAGCTCACAGTGGCAGTAGCAATTGTTGTGAGGCAGTGATCAGCACTTGTTCTTTTTCTGAGCTGTTTGTCCTTCCTCCCTCCATCCGTCCTTCCCTCCCTTCTTCCCTTCTTTTCTTCCTTCCATGCTCAGTAACGTTTATCAATACATAAATCCAAGCTCAAGGGTGCAGAACTCTTGAGGGAGTTGACTTGCCTAAACCCAAGTGTCTCAATAACAGCTGCATTTTATAATCATTTGAGATATAATTAAAATTTTCTGATACTGCATACCCCGAAAGACTGTGTTTGGAAAGTCCCGCAAGTGATTTTACTGTGTAACTAGGGCTAAGAACCACTGGCAACATAATCTGAGACAGAAAGAAGAGTGGGGCTAAAGATGAAGCTTTAACAGTAGCAGCCACATGTAGGAGATGGTATAATCAATGACACAGACAACACATTCCTTTCCTTTTCTCTCTTGCTCTCATGTGCTGTCTTCACTAGTACAATACTTGTGCGTTACTATGGTCTAACCCATGCTCACCTTCTTCACTTAGTCTCTGGTATAAGTTGGAATGCTTGCTTGCTCAAGATAAGCCTTAAAATTGGTGAGTGTTAGACAGGCAAATGCAGATTAAAAGATCATGTGTGGAAAACCATGATATGGAATCTTTTAAAATGGTTTTGATTTCAAACTCTTGCATTTGATAGGTATTACTGTCTAAGAATCCCTTCAACTAAGATATCACATAGAAATTGAACCACTCTTGGGAACAGATGGTGAGGATGAAAAACGAAAAAAAAAAAAAAAAAAAAGAAGGAAATTGAACCACTGACATATGAGGGAATAGATATGTTAGATTGCCAAAGGATTTCTTTTCTTTCTTCAGTGCTTTCTGTTGTTTTACTGAAACTGACGTTTAGAACTACAATAGAGTTAGAAAGAACATAGTATCAAAAACAGAAATCTATCATACTAAAACACAAACACATACATAGGCTTTTTCCAACCCAGCTAAGCTATTACAACATCTGGGAAAGGAAAATTAAGTAAAGTTAGTCCAGGCCGGGCACAGTGGTTCACACCTATAATCCCAGAACTTTGAGAGGCCAAGGCAGGAGGATCGCTTGAGCTCAGGAGTTCCAGACTAGCCTGGATAACATGCTGAAACCCAGTCTATATAAAAAACACAAAAATAATTAGCTGGGCATGGGGGCATGTGCCTGTACTCCCAGCTAATCTGGAGGCTGAGGCAGGAGAATTGCTTGAACCAGGGAGGCGGAGGATGCAGTGAGCCAAGATCGTGCCACTGCATTCCCTGAGCAACAAAATGACACCCTGTCTCAAAAAAAAAAAAAAAAAAAAAAAAAAACGCGCATACTTCAGCAATTCATAGAACTGGTGTATTTATTATTTCAAGGCAGTGTAAAGATGCAGGAATATATTACCATATTTCCCAAATATGGCGTGATTTTTTTTTCTCCTCATAATGATCCCTCAGAAAAGAGGAGGTTGCCTTATATTCAAGCCTTTACAAATCCTTTATGACAAGTTGCTCTCCGTTTCCTCCAGGAAAGATATATTAGCTTTAAATATCCCAAATCAATTCTAGTTTTCTAGTTTTAGATGCTTTTTAGAAGATAACTTGTTGAATCACTAAAAGCGGAAGCAAGGACATTTCATATAGATTTTGTCTTTGTGCCTGAGGATTTGACCTCACAATTGGAGATGTCACTGTAAACACGACTCTTTAAAATCTCCTTGAAAGCAGTGCAAGAGTTGCTATAAAGTGGAGATTGTCATTACACACCTGTGGGATGAATGAACAACAACAAAAAATGTTCTAATATTATAAAAGTTTATAGTTGCCGCTAGGGACAAATTTCTTGTTGACAGTGTGCTATGCTTTCAAAAACTGGTAATAAGCAAGATTGTTTCATTAAACACAGGGATGGAAAAAAGTAATATTTATAAATTAATATTTTTCCATATTACATTAAATACGTATGTATAATCAAGTTGACAAATTAAATAGTATAAGAGTACATTTAGTTGTTTAATGAACATTTCTAAAAGTCTGTTTTTTTAGAACATTTTCTTTGGCTTCAGTTTTAAGCAAATGAGACATTTCCTTAAAATTGGCACCACCTTAGAGCTGAGCATATAGTTTAATTATTTATTTACTAATATTTGTAATCAATTAATACTAAAAGCAAAAACAGGTTGTTTAATATCTGTGAGTGACTTTGTGTACGTATTTAATTTTTTTAACTAATAGAACTTCATTTGTTTGAAAGAAAACTAAAAACTGTAAATTAAATCTCTTTCTAAATAATAAAGTTCTACTGGAGTATTAGGTATTAACCCTCCATGACAGTAAATTTTATATTAACTGTCGATATGTTAATAATTTTATATTAAATGTCAATATGACTGGGCCACAGTTCCCAGAGGTTTGGTTAAACAATCATCTAGATGTTTCTGTGAAGGTGTTTTTTTAGATGAGTTTAACATTTAAATTAGTAGACTTTGAGTAAAGCAGATTATTCTCCGTAACGTGGATAGGCCACACTCCATCAGTGGAAGTCCTTATGAGAAAGTGTGAAGTCCTCTAAGTCCCCTATAGAAGAGGAGATTCTCCCTGACACTGCCTCTGGACATGAGCTGCAACACAATCTCCTTGGGTCTCCAGCCTACCAGCCTGCCCTGTATTTTTCAAACTTGCCAGACCCCAAAATTACTTGAGCCAATTTATTAAAATAAATATCGATCAATCGATCTACCTATCATCCATCTATCTATCTATCTATCTATCTATCTATCTATCTATCTATCTATCTATTCGTTTTGTTTCCCTGGAGGACCCTAATGCTTCCTCTATCTCTGGTTCATTTTTCTGCATAGCACTTGTCCCCTTTCAATGTCCTATAAAATGAATTTCATTTGCATGTTTCTTTATTGTCTGTCTCCTCCACTAGACTGTATTTCCCAAAAAGGCAGATACCATTAACTTTCTGCTCCCTAATTTTAATGCCTGGTACAAAGGGACTCTCAATAAATATTTATCAAATAAATGAATTAGATACTTCATCTGTCCTTCATTATATATTTAATATTTAAAACAAACTAAAGATTTCATTTTAAATCTAGAGTACATCAAAGAAGAAAAATCATAACAATGAACAAATACAATGAATACATATTAAAGGTGGACTGAGCACATTTATTAGACTGTATGTGATATTTTAATTGTTTAAATGGAACTGATTTGAAGTTATCTTACTATTACCTACACAGATTCATTAAAAAATGTATTAAGACTAATAGCCAATTTTAAGAATAAGAACAGCTAATATATAAATAGTTATTTATATCCTATATAATATAAATGTATCTTAAGCAACAGTCCCATATTTTCATTACAGTTATGAACTCACTTTTTCGTCTAATAATGGATGAAGGCTTAGATATTTGGTGTACATTTTTAGTTGTTTGCTTGAATTATGTAACATGAATTTCCTTTGTTCTCTGGGAATATTTCATCAAAATCTATTATCCGGTAAGAAGCTGAAATTAGTTAATGAAGTCCAATTCAACTTTTAAAAATACAGCTTCTTTCTTAATTTCAGTTTATTTTGGAAACATGAAATACTTCAACATTATGTGAATCATTTTTACAATTTTTACTTTCAGAGCAAATTCATGAACATAAAATCATTAAACTTTCCGAAATTATATTGTATCTTCCAAACATATAAAACTGATTTTCATTAAAATAATATATTATCAGGAGAAAGAAAAAAAAACTCAAACTATACACAAAACAGCTACAAGAGTGAGAAAATATGCTATCTAGAAAGAAAATGGTTGTTAAGAGAAGGTATAAAACCATTTTTGAAACAGAATTAAAAGTGTTTATTTTATTAAAAAGTTGACATAGGTTATCTTTGGTGTTTATGACTTGCAAACTAAAGTATTTAATATTTAACATGTTTAAATACAAGCAGCAGCAGTTTGGTAATCAAAAGGAATAATTTGAATCATCTCAGAAAAGTAAATTTATTGTAATTAGGATATTTTAGAATACGATTAAAACATTTGAAAGAAAATGTATTCACCTTTCTTGTCATCGAAGTACAGAGTCTGTTGAGCTGGATTTGACCACTGGAGGGAGGTGTTATCATTTTGATCAACCCTGCAGGTCAAAATTGCAGTTCCGCCTTCAACAACAGTTACATTCTGTGTCAGTGGAAACTGCCCTTGGCTGCCTAAAAGGGGATTTAAAAAAATGTTGATTAAATGAAAGTCATAAAATGATTAACTGCCCAAAATCTACACTGGCCTTAACTTCTCATGCAAAATAAAATTTCAAACAACCAAACAACAACAAAACTATATATTACAAAAGACAGAAAAATAATTGAAAATCTTCAGAGAACAACAGCATTGACATATAATTAAGACTCCTTTGTACTCCCTACATGTTCTAGGAAACTTTTTTTCTCCTAGGCATACATAAAGATTTATATTCAAATAGTAATATTATAATTATTAATTTCCCTAGGCTTTGCATTAGTAAATATGGTACTAGACTTGGTCATTGTTGAAGATAAGGCACTGAAATAATTTTGGATAAGTTGAACTCTCTAGAGCAGTAGAGGAAGCATAAAATACTTCCCTGGTAGCTTTTGTAATCCTGAATAAAGTTTTTGAAATATGGATACTAAAACTTTAGATTCAATTTCTGATAGAGGAAATCAAAAAAAGAATCCCACTTAACTAGGTTTTCTTGTAGAGTTAGCTCTTTTTAGAAATACATAATGTATTGTATAAAACAGTGGGAGTACTCTTTGAAAAGCATAGGATATCCATTCAAGTTTTAAATGATTAATCCTAGGTGATACAGGTTAATACCCTTCTTTGTTCCTTTCTGTAGTTTCTTGTTTTTCTCCAAGTAATACATATTTATTTTATAATCAGAAAATACATATTTTTAAATGACCCTTGTTAATTTGGATATCATCAGTATGTAATCAAGGTTTTGCTCTTCCTAAGCATTTCACTAATTTATTAAAGTAATTAATGTAACAAATGTACTTAATAAGTGCAATTCTAATAGTTTAAACAAAATTTATGCACATGGATACATAATACATAAATTTCTCTTCAGCAAGATGATCTGAAGATAAACTCTGCTAAGTCTGATAACCATGATTAACATGGGTAAGAATGACTTTCTAGAACCAGGTTAAAATATTATTGTGTAAGCAAGGTAGTTCATTAAGTCAAGGATAATTTACATATGCAAGAACACTGTAATGACTTAATCACATCCATGAAACGTATTTCCTTTTTCTTCTTTAGTTTTGTAATGATTTGATAATTACTACAAGCACTACTTGAGGTTATGCTGGAACTATTGGCATAAGAATCTTATTAGCGGGGATTCCCGGGCCAGATGGCCAAACAGGAACAGCTCCGGTCTGCAGCTCCCAGTGAGACCAAGGCAGAAGGCAGGTGATTTCTACATTTCTAACAGAGATACCCAGTTCTTCTCACTGGGACTGGTTAGTCAGTGGATGCAGCCCATGGAGGGCAAGCAAAAAGTAGGGTGGGGTGTCACCTCACCCAGGAAGTGCAAGGGGTCAGGGAACTCCCTCCCCTAGACAAGAGAAGGCGTGACTAACTGTGCCATGAGGGATTGTGCTATCCAGCCCAGATACTATGCTTTTCCCATGCTCTTTGCAACCCACAGACCAGGAGATTCCCTTGGGCGCCTATACCACAAGGGCCCTAAGTTTCAAGCACAAAACTGGGCAGGCATTTGAGCAGACACTGAGCTAACTACAGGAGTTGTTTTTTTTTGTTTTGTTTTTGTTTTTGTTTTTTTTTGTACCCCAGTGGTGCCTGGAACTCCAGCAAGACAGAATTGTTCACTCCAATGGAAAGGGGGCTGAAGCCAGGGAGCCAAGTGGTCTTGCTTAGTGGATCCCACCCCCACGGAGCCCAGAAAGCTAAAATCCACTGACTTGAAATTCTCGCTGCCAGCAGAGCAGTCTGAAGTCGACCTGGGATACTCAAGCTTGCCATTACTGATGCTTGAGTAGGCAGTTTTCCCCTCACAATGTAAACAAAGCCTCCAGGAAGTTCAGACTGGGGTGGAGCCCACTGCAGTGCCAAAAATCCTCTGTTGCAGACTGCCTCACTAGATTCTTCCTCTCTGAGCAGGGCATCCCTAAAAGAAAGGCAGCAGCCCTAGTCAGGGGCTTGTAGGTAGATAAAACTACTATCTTCCTGGACAGAGTCACTGGGGAAACAGACAACTGTGGGTGCAGCTTCAACAGACTTAAAAGTTACTGCCTGCCAGCTCTGAAGAGAGCAGTGGATCTCTGAGTACAGTGCTTGAACTCTGCTAAGGGACAGACTGCATCCTCAAGTGGGTCCCTGACACCCATGCCTCCTGAGGTGGAGACACCTCCCAGCAGTGGTTGACAGACACCTCATACAGGAGAGCTCCAGCTGGCATCTGTCAGGTGACCCTCTGGGATGAAGCTTCCAGAGGAAGGAGCAGCCAGCAATCTTTGCTGTTCTGCAGCTTCTGCTGGTAATACCCAGGCAAATAGGGTCTGGAGTGGACCACCAGCAAAATCCAGCAGCACATTAAAAAGCTTATCCACCACGATCAAGCCATCTTCATCCTTAGGATGCAAGGCTGGTTCAACATACCTAAATCAACAAATGTAATCCATCACATAAACAGAACCAATGACAAAACCCACATGATTATCTCAACAGATGCAGAAAAGGCCCTTGATGAAATCCAACACCCCTTCATGCTAAAAACACTCAATAAACTAGATATTCACGGAACATATTTCAAAATATTAAGAGCTACTTATGGCAAACCCACAGCCAATATCATAATGAATGGGCAAAAGCTGGAAGCATTCCCTTTGAAAACTGGCATAAGACAAGGATGCTCTCTCTCACCACTTCTATTCAACATAGTATTGGAAATTCTAGCCAGAACAATCAGGCAAGAGAAAGAAATAAAGTGTATTCAAATAGGAAGAGAGGAAGTCAAAGTATCCCTGTTTTCAGATGACATGATTGTATATTTAGAAAACTCCATCGTCTAAGCCCAAAAACTCCTTAAGCTGATAAGCAACTTCAACAATGTCTCAAGATACAAAATCAATGTGCAAAAATCACAAGCATTCCTATGCACCAATAATAGGCAAACAGAGAGCCAAATCATGAGCAAACTCCTATTTACAATTGCTACAAAGAGAATAAAACACCTAAAAATACAACTTACAAGGAATGTGAAGGACCTCTTCAAAGAGAACTACAAACCACTGCTCAAGGAAATAGGAGGGACACAAACAAATGGAAAAACATTCCACGCTCATGAATAGGAAGAATCAATATTGTGAAAATGGCCATACTGTCCAAAGTAATTTATAGATTCAATGCTATCCCCATCAAGCTACCACTGACTTTCTTCATAGAATTAGGAAAAAAAAAACTACTTTAAATTTCATATGGAACCAAAAAAGAGCCCATATAGACAAGACAATCTTAAGCAAAAAGAACAAAGCTGGAGGCATTACACTAACTGACTTAAAACTATACTACAAGGCTACAGTAACCAAAACAGCATGGTACTGGCACCAAAACAGAAATATAGACCAATGGAAAAGAACAGAGGCCTCAGAAATAATGCCACAAGTCTACAACCATCTGACCTTTGACAAACCTGATAAAAACAAGCAATGAAGAAAGGATTCCCTATTTAATAAATGATGTTGGGGAACTGGCTAGCCATATGCAGAAAACTTAAACTGGACCTCTTCCTTACACCTTATACAAAAATTAACTCAAGATGGATTAAAGATTTAAACATTAAGACCTAAAACCTTAAAAGCTCTAGATGAAAACCTAGACAATACCATTCAGGACATAGGCATGGGCAAAGACTTCACGACTAAAACACCAAAGCAATTGCAACAAAATCCAAAATTAACAAATGGGATCTACTTAAACTAAAGAATTTCTACACAACAAAAGAAACTATCATCAGAGTAAATAGGCAACCTACAGAATGGGAGAAAAATTTTGCCATCTATCCATCTGACAAAGGTCTAATATCCAGAATCTACAAGGAACTTAAACAAATTTACAAGGAAAAAAAAAACAAACAACCCCATCAAAAAGTGGGTGAAGGATATGAACAGACGCTTTCTCAAAAGAACACATTTATATGCATCCAATAAACATATAAAAAAAACTCATCATCACTGGTCATTAGAGAAATGCAAATCAAAACCACAGTGAGATACCATCTCACGCCAGTTAGAATAGCAATCATTAAAAAGTCAGGAAACAACAGATGCTGGAAAGAATGTGGAGATATAGGCCCACTTTTACACTGTTGGTGGGAGTGTAAATTATCTCAACCATTGTGGAAGGCAGTGTGGTAATTCCTCAAGGATCTAGAACTAGAAACACCATTTGACCCAGCAATCCCATTACTGGTATATAGGCAAAGGATTATAAATCATTCTGCTGTAAAGACACATGCACACACATGTTTATTGCAGCTCTATTCACAATAGCAAAGACTTGGAACCAACCCAAATGCCCATCAATGTTACAATGGATAAAGAAAATGTGGCACATATACACCATGGAATACTATGCAGCCATAAAAAAGGATGAGTTCATGTCCTTTGCAGGGACATGGATGAAGCTGGAAACCGTCATTCTCAGCAAACTAACACAGAAACAGAAAACCAAACACTGCATGTTCTCAGTCATAAGTGGTAGTTGAACAATGGAACATATATATGGACACCAGGAGAGGAACATCACACACCAGGGCCTGTCGAGGTAGGGGAGTAATGGGAGGGATAGCATTCAGAGAAATACCTAATGTAGATGACGGGTTGATGGGTGCAGCAAACCACCATGGCACATGTATCCCTATGTAACAAACCTGCACATTCTGCACATATATCTCAGAACTTAAAGTAAAAAAAAAAAAAAAAAAAAAAAAAAAATTACAAAGTTCTAAAACTCAGATGGTTTCTATTCAAAAAATAACAAGTTTTCTCCTAACTTTATAGAAGAGAATGTTTAATGCTATGCAACCAAAAGATTTTCCTAAAACTGGGCACTTGTGCTTTAGACAGGTAGTTTTCTTTTCTTTTCTTTTTTTTTTTACATGGATTCTCACTGTCTTGCCAAGCTGGAGTGCGGTGGCACA